CGTATTTAATAGCGCAAAAAGACCAAACTTTATTCGATTCATCGCTTCACCTTGTTAATGCAATTTAAATTTGCAGTCTGACTTTTTTACACATCACATTATTTATTGCGAAATGTTCCAGTGGATTTTCTGCAACTTGTTAGCTGTACCGGGAATTTAATTGAAATTACGTAGGTATTTGAATATGATTTCGCTGAGGTACGGCCGTGATGCTTGGCCATGAGATGCCTTTATTTTGTCCTGGAGATGCCGAATGAAAAGAGTAGGAGGGGATGAACGGTCGAGGCGGTGCCATCGATTTCGTCAATCATTCGATGGACGACTTCCGGCACCTCGGTCTGACCTTTTCCGGGATGAGAATCACGGCGCCGCTCCGCAGCAAATTATTTCCCTGCGGCATTATCAGGACGACTCGGCATTTATATTCGTCTAGCAAAAACTCCTTCGTCTCTCGCTGTTTCCGATATTGATAATCGCTCAAATTTATAATACCTCTCGTGAATAATAATATGCGGCTACGTACGAAGTAAAAGACACGAATGGATATGGAGCATCGGAAATTCAAAGAATAAATAAAATTTTGCAAAATATCCTCTTGAAGTCTACGAATGCTATCCAACTTTACCTAAATCTCTAAATTTCTACTCAAGCGCGTTAATTGCAAAGCTTGTCACAATTTGTAAATTTTCCATTTTTTTTGGCATATTAAAGGTGTTGTGGTAAGAGTCGTGTCGAGCACTTATTGATTCGAGCCATTTTTTTTTTTTTTTTTTTTTTTTTTTTTTTTTTTTTTTTTTTTTTTTTTTTTTTTTGTAAAGACGTACAATAAAGTAGTCCAATACATTCGAATACTCGCGCTATAATGTTTGTCTACCTCGAAAAGTGAAAGATTATGTCACCAATAAAAATTGCATTATAACTGTGTAATATACTTTTATAGTTTTATGCTCTCTTGTGTGTTTGTTAAAGCATCTCTGAAAAGTAAATCAATGAACGAGTATGACGATTCGTAATATAAAAACTTCAAAAAAGAATGAAAATGAAACAGAAGGAAAGAAATACAAAGAGAGAAAGAGAGAGAGAGAGAGAATGTTTATCACTGTTTGTGTTATCACGAACGAAAGTATTCGAGCCGAAAGCCGATATGCCTTGCTCTAATTTTCTCGTGGCCTTCGTCCTCTCTACATTGTACTATTATAGAATATTTATTTAATATTTTTGGCTAAGATTTTCCCTTAAGTCACGAAAATAGGATACACCGGAATAACAAAATTAGAGCGAAAAATGTAATATGTTTTTTTTTTATTTTTGTGTTAGTAGTTAATTAAATAAAATTGCAAGGTAATATGAAAGTATCGTCATGGAATTACAAATCGATTATCTAATTGAAGGGAATTCGAGTTTATTAAGCTCGAGCGGATCCCGAATCTTGTCATTTAAATTTAAATTGCTGCAAAAAAATTAATGCTTACGAAAAAATCTTACGTAATCCATCACGCTGACATTCGTGCATATATAATTCTCCCTTCCCTTCCCTTCCCTTCCCTTCCCTTCCCTTCCCTTCCCTCCCTCCCACCCTTTTTTTCGTATATTTTGTTTTTACAAATCCAATTCAATACCTCGATAAACCATTAAAAGCGAAATACCATTTTACCATCGCGCAAAATTTTTACTTAACATATAGTAAAGAAAAAAAAACTGCAATAAATTTATATTTTGACTCGCTAGTACTTTAAAAAGACATTTTATGCTATAATAATGTTATCACATAAAACAAAAAAGTTGAGCTGCATTTACTTTTTATTCTGTATTCCAAGAAATCATTGAGAATTACAATTCAATCGGAAAGTCCAAGCCATAAACTTGATATTTATTAAATATTAAAATTCGGTAATTATAAATCGTTACAACGCCATTTTACCACGTAATTTATAACCCTTATAACGAAGGAATTTATTATTTATTCTTTTTATTTCATTATAAGACTTGTAAATGAGCTGTTGTCGGTGACTTGGAAGTATTGAAGTGTCAATTAAAGGGAATATTATATGTAGCGCGTGTGTAGTAACGCATGAAATAAATATTTCTCTATGATTTCATCGAATACATGCCTATGAATTATAAAGCGGTAGTTGGATAATTTTTAATCAAAATGTACTCCTTGGTCGATTCGTCTGCAAATTGCTCGTTATTAATTTTGACGATTGATATTAAGGAACTTTATTAGGCTGCTTGGAAAAAAAAAATTTTTCTTTTTTTTATCGAAATATCGATGCCCACCTATTGGCCCGTAATATTAATAGTCACGTGTATCTGAAATAGTCGAGCAAAGCTCAATTGATCATAGGAGGCTGTGGGTGTTCTCCCAACCGTTTATTACGCCTCGTGTCTCTAGCTTACATTTTCTCGCGCGCCCATACGGGCCGAAACCTGTAAAGTCTCTCGATGCTGATTAAAAATTCGATGAAAAAGGCTGAAAGGAGGCAAGTGAGCCCCCGCACGTATAGTCGAAGAAGCACAAATCACTGGAGACTCGTAAAATTGACTGGACACCTTAAGACGGGGCGTAAATTAAAGACGAGAAGGGTTTGAGTTAATGCTTTGAGCGTGAATCGGTCAAGATTATTATACCACGATAAACTATTGTCTTTATATCTCGAAAATATTTAAGCCTTTAAATCGCACAATATTCATATTCGCAAAATATTTCCACTTTTCAAAGCGTCGCTTTCTTAATAAATTAAAAGAATAAACGAAAACAAAATGAAAAACAAGAAGAAAAACAAAGAAAATTGACGAAGAAGAAGATGAAGAAGAAAAAATTTTAATATATCCGATAATACCATTCTATACTCCAAATAAGGCACATTGAAGCTGAGATTTATTTTAAAAATAAATACGTGTATTTGATAATTGATACGGTGGCTGTTGTAGATTACGAGTAACTTGCAAGCTCGGAAATAGCTTCGATTGTGGAATAGGATGGGAATAATATGCGAAAGGTTCGATGCAAAATAGAAATTGTTGAAGAAAATCGTTAGAAGCATTATAACGTGGCATCGCATTTGCAGGAAATGTAGAAAAACTTAACATTATACGATAATACGAGTTCCCTTTGTTTATCTCTAAGATCACGGGAGAAGAGAATAGTTGTCAAGTGTTATGGCAATCTCGAGAGCTAAATACCATGAGTTTTTTTAGCGAACGAACGAATGATTAAATGCAAAAGGATTCATTTTATTATTGATTTTGATTTTTTTTCTTCATTACATTAAATTTTGCGACTTTGAGATATACGTGCAGTCTCGCGTCGGTGCTTAGTTTCAATAAAATTGTAAATTTGTAAAAGTAATTTGTTATCTATGTAAACTATGAGTAATGGAATAATGGAGAAGGTTCGTAATAGGCGATCAAGAACGTAAATAATTCTACATTCCCATACATGCGCGTTTATCAATGTTGGTACTATATTGGTAAACTGTGTACAGGTCGATGTAGGGACGTCGTCGACGACGTCGCAACGGGGCACATTTCACTTGCTGACATCGGAGTAATAGGGGAACCGAAATTAGACGAGTTTCTCTTTTAGGCGTCGGTAATGCGTGCATTTAAAATTTTCTTAAATACTTTAATTGAAGTAAGATTTTTCATCTAAAAATATATGAAAATAATGTCGTGAAAGGGAAATACTTAATTTTAGACAAGTGAGCCGGGGCTTGGTTAAAGTAATATATATATATATATGAGAGATTATTGTTATTGTAGAATTGCTAATTTTTATAGAAAGACGTAATTTTCTGTGCTACCGAGTCGAATGTTTGGCGGCCTTCGTTATTCTCTCCCTTAATCAAACGACGATATTTCTTTACTGGTTGGCAATTTTTCTATCTTTTTCTTCCGTTTTTTTTTTTTTTTTTTTTTTTTCTTTCTCTTTATTTCTTTTTGCCCGCATTTATTTATTTATTTGTGCATAAATATGTATTGTAACGACTTTTTAATTGTTTATGGTGTCGATGAAAATTGCTTGAAATAATGGTGTGCTTGATTGTCTCGGAGGTTAGGAAACCGGTGTCGATGACTTTATTCCATTTGCATTTCAATCGGTATATTATTAAAAGAATTTTTCATTGTTTCACACTTGAGTCGGGTGTAGTTTCAGACAATTATCTTATATTATTTATAATTACACATTCTGTTGGGAAGATGAACGTACGAGGACTCTTTCCACGTGTAACTGTTTAATCTCTAATGATTGCACGCTCGTAATAATATTTGATCTACAAGCGTGTAAATATATAGGAAATTAAACAATCGATGGAGCAATTAAATTTCAAGTGCATGTCGAATCATAGATTGGATAGCGATTAATAAAAATCCAGAGCGAACAATTTATAATTCACGCGGATTCTTAAGTATGCTATTATCAATGTACAATATCCTCATTCTCATACACAACATTCAAATATAACACGAGCCTGTAATTATTACAAAACGACAAAGAAAGAACTCTTATGTTAAAATTATCTAATGAGGCCCATTATGATACATTTATATTATCGATAGCCCGTCCGTGGTACTTGTGAAGTCCGAGCTCGTTTACGGCTTAACAATTTTTTAAAAAAAGGAGTTTGTAAGGGACGTTGAGAAGAAGAAAAAAAAACAACTAATATGCCTATGTATAATAATCAGAATCGTTGTCTCCTGCTACTCTCAATGTAACTCACGCGAAGCAGTAATTATCCGACTTATGAATAACTTGTTGCCATATATTTGTTTGCAGTGCACTTTTAAATGGCCAATGCTACCGCCAGAGGCCATTTGAGAAAGCCATCCGCAGGTTAAACTTGAAAACTTTATCACCAAAAATTCGAGGCCCGGCAACCCGGCAATAATTACCATAATAATGAAAAAAATCTTGAGTGTTCGTCAGCCGGCAGGCTCTACCCAATAGACAATAAAGAGCTATTAAAAACGAATTAAGGATAGAATAGCGAAATTACCTGGAGGAATAGCATGAAGCAGACCCACTGATAGTACCTGTACTCCTTCCTCTCGTTCTCCGGGTAGGCCCTGGAGTTGTCGACCCCGGGGAAAGGCACCTCGTAGCCTTCCTTTTTCTTGTAAGCCGCCGTGATGGTGTAAGTACTGTGTATCCAGCAGTAGGTGTTGAGCACGTCCTCCGGCAGGTCCTTACTGTGTATGCAGTCGATCGGATTGCCGACGTACTGGCGCGTCGTCACTATCAGCGAGAACGCGATCAGCAATATGACCGTGAAGCTGTAGTGCAGTCGAAAAACCGCGGAGTCAATTTGGATGTGCGATATCTTGATGAGGCTCTTGAGGCCACGGAATATGTCCAACATCTTCGTAGCCAGCTCCGATGCTCGCTTATAAACTCGCGATTAGAAGGGGCTGCGAGAGCTCCTCCACCGGGACATTGGCTAACCGCGGGTATTACGATGGGACGCTGGCTGACTCGCGGGCGTCCTCGCAACTATGCGCTAACGTTAGCCTTCGAGCCTCGCGTCTACGTCGAGCATGGCTGCTCGCTACGATTGGCATCTATCAAATGTGCGTCCTTTGTCCCCGTCCTCGTCCTCGTCGTCCTTATCGTCGATCCTCGACTTTGTCTTTGTTTTCGTCTTCGTCGGCGTCCCCGTCGTCCTCGTCTTCGTCGTCTTCGCCTTCGTCGTCGTCGTCTTTCTTGTCTTCCTCGGCGGCTGCGGTAATAGCTGCGTCGCCGTCTTCGTCGGCGGCAGTGGCAATAGCTGCCTCGCCGTCCTTGTCGTTGTCGACGTCGTTGTCAGAGTCGCTGTTGCTGACCTCCTTGTTGTCGTCAATGTCGGCGTCGGCGTCGGTGTCGTCCCCGTCGTCGTCTTCGTCGTCGTCGTCGTCGTCGTCGTCGTCCCCGTAGTCGTCGTCGTCGTCGTCGTCGTCGTCCCCGTAGTCGTCGCGGTCGTCGTCCCCGTAGTCGTCCTCGTCGTCGTCCCCGTAGTCGTCGTCGACGTCGTCGTCGTCTTCGTCGTCGTCGATGTCGTCGTCGTTGTCGTCTCTGTCGTCGTCGTTGTCGTCGTCTTTGTCGTTGTCGTCGACGTCGTCGGGCGCTCGACGCTTCGGCAACTCCCCCACGTGTGTCGAGTAAAGGCGCTCGTCAGAAAACGTTAGTCGACGCTTCAACACTACGTCCTTGTTCTTAATCGGTTAGCTCTCGGCACCGTCAACGCCATTTCAACCAGCTCACACCTACGAATCGCCATCCCTCCACTCGGGTCGCTTCACGACGGAAATAACGACCGAAACTCAAGCCACATCGACACCGAGTCACTCGCGTGTCGCCTCTCAAAACCGCTACGGCACTCGCTCAGCTTCCCGGGGCCGCGATTACGATATCAAGAGCCAAGAGCCTCGGGACGTCGACGTCGATGGCGCGCACGATGATCATTCGCATCCGGCTCCAGGGCGCGAGATCCTCTGCGCATCCTCGGCTGCGTCGCCGGACCTGACGCTCCTGCCGCCTCCGTCGACCGGACTCCACGTCCTCGTCCACCTCTCGATGGGGACTGACGTCAGCTGGCGAATGATCGCGATGCTGGATCCGCTCTCGAGGAGGCCATTCTCCAACGACTCCTCGTCCACGCCGTTCCACCTGACTGGCTTTATCAACATTCGCTGATTCTCGAGTCCTGGATGCTGGAGGCGCACCGATCTTCAATTTGTTGTTTGTATTTCAACTTCGAGGTGAGGCGGATGCACCCACTGCATTGGGGTACATGGGCTCACTTTCTCTTTCTCCGCTCTTAGTTCTAGAAGAAGAGGAGCAAGTTCACTGCAGAGTTGATACCGGTCGCCCCTAACCGTTCCTTTCTCCCATTCTTCCATTCTCCCATTCTCCCCCCCCCCCCCCAATCACCCCGCCATCCCTTTCTCCTCTCGTATATACGTATAGATAATTTCCCATTCGTTTTTCGACAATTATGTAAGAGAAGAGCTAAAACGCCGTTTAACTGGTTGTGTGGGTGTACGAGTGGCTCGAGAGTTCGGCGTTTCGTGGGGACGTCATCGTGAAAGTTTGAAAGATTTGTCTATCGACAGTTTGTTAAATCTCAGAGTATAATACTATGAAAATGCTTGCTCACACCGACTTATCGAGGCGACGATTTTAAAATTCCATTTTCCTAATGGTATTCAGTATTCCAAAGTTGTATGACAGCGTTTGTATACATACAATTTGGTGGTTACGTCGTGCTTAAGCTTTGCTTTCAATTTAGGAAACTTATTTTTATAAAACGACCATTCTACATAATTTACAGCGTCAAATGTTACGAAAATTCTAAGCCAACGATTAAAAGTTTTAAAAGTTGCCTCGCAACAATCAACTAATAATTGGATTTTTTTTTTTATTTTTTTTTTTTTTATCACGTTGTCACAAAAGTATTCCGCCGCCCCCCCCCTCCCCACCCCCGGCATTATAAATATAGTCCCCCCGAGGATTTATAAATATAATGACGGATATATAAGTATATAACTTTGAACGTTAATTCGAATTGTATAATATGCTTTTATAATCCATTTCTAAATAAATGAATACAAATAGCAAGGATTTACGAAGTTTCTTAAGCAGAAGAACTGTTATCTAAAATGTCGTAGCACATTAGCTTTACAACACTAAGCCAATTGCGAATAACCGTTGAAATTAAGATAAGAGCTTTGGCACATTAAAATTCTTTTAAAATTATTGTAAAATGTGTATTAAGAATTTATATTGGAGAGAAAAAAAACATAGCAACTAACTATATATATATATATATAATGCTTAAAATTTTAAATTTTACTGGGATAACGATTTAAATGAATGATTTTTCAACAGATACGAGGATATTCGTTGGGCTTTGTAAAGCAATAAAAACATTGGGATTTGAGAAAGATTTCAAAATGAAATACGCTTTCTTACATAATCCCTTTATGTGTATCTCGTTATAAATAATCGAAACTTGCAACACGAATAGGCGACAAAAATACAGCGGCGAATAAAGGAGGGAGGGAGGAGTTTTTAATAATTTGCAAATTCGTGTTATTGGCCGCAAATTCGCGTGAGATCTTGCTCTCAAAGTTCTACACTAAATCGCATCCACTAAACCCGGGACATGGCGCAAAATATCCAAAAAAAAAAAGAAAAAAGAAAAATGAAAAAGAAAAAGAAAAAGAAAAAAGAAAAAAAAAGCGAGGGTTTTATAAATATTTGGACAACACTAAAACTTTGTGAAACTCGCGTCAACTCGTCGTTGCTTCTTCCCTGCCCTGCGTAAGTTTAATACGACTTTGATTGACTTAACGAGAAATCGCTGCCGGCCGACTATATTTACTTTGTAATCCCTGCGAGCTTTCTTTTTCTCTTTCTCCCGCTTCACCTCATCCATCGCGTACGAAAGCTTTGACTGCTGGTTGAAAGACAGCGACGAGCAGCAATAAGAGCAACCTCGAGACCATCGTGATTATGTAATTTTTTAACGACTCTACACCTCGGAAACAAAAAATGCCTCCGTTGATGCACATTTCGCTTGGCCGGTATTATTTATTAATTGAGTTTGGTAACGCGAAACGTGGCCGACTTTTAATCGCTAATAACAATTTAATTAACTATGAGCATTATTGCGAGAATGAAAAAAAATGAAATTCTAAAGATCATTACTGTTGTTTAATTTACTCGATAATGGCATTAGTCGGGCTTATCGTTTACCAAAGCAAATTCAAATTCCAAATCGGACAGTTAGAAATTGCATTAATCGTGTACTACGAGTAAAACTCCTTTACTTCGATCGATCCTTAACCGATCGATCATAATAATGTGCGTAATTACCGAAGAAGCAACGAACAAGAAATTTTATATAGAAAACGGCACTTTTCCCAATATCTAATGACACGTTCCAAATTGTTTTCGGAGAGCTAGGAGTTTGTGGAAACACTGGAAAATACAAAACAGACTCTCGAGAAGTTTCTGAAAAAATAGTTAATAATCCTTCACGTGGATCAACAGTTTGGACTTACGATTGCCACACAAAACAACCATCCATCGGATCGTGCGCACTTTTAGTTTTAAAACGCTAACAGAATCACCCGCCTAAAGGCACTGCGTCGTCGAAGAGACGAAGAAAATGAAAAACTCGAGGGAGCCGCTCGTCCGGCCGGCGGCACTTTCGACGCGACACGTCCGCTCTTGCGGGGCGAGCGAAAATAACAAACAAAAAAATCCTCGAGGATCCAGATCCCTCGAGAAAACGTGCAATGAGAAAAAGGAACCGTGTGAGAGAGCCAGGACACGTACAGGTAACGTACACTCGCGCACAAATAGGCGCGAATACAGCCACGCACGCACTCAGGCACGTAAGCACGCATACATATGGAGAAAAGCCCGAGCGAGCTTGTGAAGCGTCACCACGAGAATGCGAGCTTTTCATTGGAATAGAGTGAGAGCGAGAATGAAAGAGGCAGAGTGAGTGAGTGAGTGAGTGAGTGAGTGAGTGAATGAGTGGGAGAGAGAGAGAGAGAGAGAGAGAGAGAGAGACTTGGCATAGGGGCCGTTCGCCAGTTGGCATGATCCGCTCGCTCGATTTTCCGGATCGCGGGAAGAATCGTGATCGTGGTGGGAGGGAGAAGGTGGGTAGGGGCATCTTTAACCGGGGAGCGGGAAGAAAAAATCAAGGGAGTCGGGAAAATCCCGATGCTTTCGACGCGGCCTCATTTCACGTACGCTAATAGACTCGGTCCGTTCCTTGATGAACGTGGAAGGATGACGTTGTGAGAGGGGAGGGATCGCTTTATAGGGATCATAAAGCGAGATGGATGGTCGGTTATCCTATAATCTTTTTCGCCTTTCAATCATAATCGACGGTCCTCTCTCTCTCTCTCTCTCTCTCTCTCTCTTTCTCTCTCTCTTTCTCTCTCTCCCTACCTCCCACCCTCCCTCCATCCAACCATCCCACTCATTTGCACGCTCGCTCTTATTATCTTTCTCTAGCCTCCCCATCATACACACAACGAACGCACACACACACACACACACACACACACATTCTCTCTCTCTCTCTCTCTCTCTCTCTCTCTCCGTTCGTCTCTGTCTTGCTCGCTCCTTCACTCGCTCACCCGTTGAGTTTAGCCGAAAGGTCTTTTTGATTTTAACTCGTGTTTTAAGACAGGAGATGAATGCGCTTGATGCTTGATTGAGTGGCTCGGGAATGATCATTTTTAGATTTATTTATAACATCTATAATGTATTTTAATGTTGGTTGGTATACTTAATGGGATCTTATAAGCATTTTGTGGTACTGGTTACGTAGATATTTTCTTACTTGATAATAAAATTGTTCTATTAAATTTCGAGTGTCGAATCCCTTGAAAGTTTTATATATTTCAAGCCTCTGTATGATTAATAATAATAATACGCGTGGCGTACGATCGCACATCATCAAGCAATTAAAACATACCGGGACGCAAAATATTTTTCTTTATGTATCGATGTAAAAGATCCGTTTCGCGGGCACAGCCAGAATCTCGAATAACGGGTGCTTCAAAATTTTATTAAAACTCAAAACGATATTAGATCAATGAAATATTTATGCGGATTTGGTCGATGGCTGCGTAA